TCAACACTCAGGACTGCAAGTGCAACCACAAATTATTCTTGACATTGGCAATTTGTGTCTTTTTTTTTTTTTTTTTTTTTTTTTTTTGCATTGGTTTAGCTTCCTGTGAGGAGTCAAAACACATCTTTGATGTTTGATCAACCTATGCTTTTTCTCCATTCTCCTCCTGTCCCAAACTTCAGCCCCCTTTCTAGCTGCTGGGCTGGAGAATAAGCTATAGATGAGCAACTTGAGTAATCGGCATGCACTGCCCATCCCCATAGTCCTGATTAGCTGTAAGCCCAGAAGCCTGGAGCTGCGGTGGCCTGCCCTGTGTCCCAGGAGACATCTGCTGGGGACTCTGGGAGGGCAGAGATGTGGACATGGCTGGTTTCTACGTTCACAAAGTGTCTAATCCTCATGCCAGTTATTCAAGAACTACGTGTACACACTCAGAAGAACATTATGGTTTTCATTTTTTTTTAACTCATCCAATACTAATTAGAAAATGAGAACAGTTATTAATTTTTTAGAGCAGGCAGTTTTAGAAAAGAATAAAGCCACATTTTTTTTCCAAGAGAAAATGGACGTGGTAATATGATGGAAGCATTGACCCGGCAGGGAGTCTAAATCTGCTCACAGTGATTAGCGATCTAGCTGGCTGCTCACGTTCTGAAATTTGGGAAAAAGCTGAAGCAACTTCCTTTGTTCCTTTAAGTATTGTTGTCTCTTCTCTTGCTATTGTCTGATGTAGCACATAGAGTTAGTACTCTGATACAAAGGGCTAATTTTGTAGTTTCAGAAAGAAACTTAAATGTTTTCCAGGAGCTTGTAAACATTTTCCTCTACTTGTAAAGAAAATACAAATATAAGGAGGACTTAATGTTTGATATTTTATAAAGCTCTTGGAAACCATTTTGATGGCTCTGCATTTACTATACCAAGGCTAGAGAAAAGAAGAAAAACATCCATATAAATTTAAACCATTCCAATGGCAGGATTATATACACATCCAGAGGCTCATCCATTTCAATACTCTAGCAGTTTAGAGTAATGAAGCCTTCAGAATTACTCAGGAATAGTCTGTCTACCATTTGTGTATCATAATACTCTTTCTATTGTTGTGTAAACATATTTTTATCAATATTTGCAAAAAACCCTACTTTTAATAAACTAAGTAACAAATGTAAACTATAGGACTCATGAGGGTAATTAGTGCAAACAACTGGCATACTTACAATTGCATTTCTTCTGAACGAATCTAAGCTTGCACGCTGTTCTGTAGGTGGAGAGTCGGATCCGATCCAGATCTTGAGCCCCTGGAGGGGGAAGAAGGTACACATATGGTATGCCGTGTGTGTGGAAAGGAATTCATAATGTTTATAAATAAATACAGACATAACCCATACCCTTAATTTTATTTTTATTTTTATTAGAATGTAAATATAACTTGAGGACTTGAAAAGGTCTGTCCCATATTCCTCAGGGTCTAGGGAAAGAGACACATGTAATCAGCTCTGGGGATCAGGTTGTCAACTGTGTTCATGGGCCAAAGACACACACTCAGCCCCGTGGTGTCTGCCACTTCTGAGAACAATCTGCTCCAGCTGTGACTTAAGCAGCTAGATGATATCAGATAGTAATATCATCAAATAATCACTTTAAATGCACTGTGATTGGTCATTAGAACAAGGCTGTGAGGTGAGCATAGGCCAAATGTTAAGCATCTTTTCTGCATGATCTTAGGCCGATTGCTTTTAGAAGCCTCAGTTTTCTCATCTGGAAGATGGGGATGATGATACTACCACTACTTATCTCATAGGCTTGCTGTAAGGATAAATGAATGACACCTAAAGCACCGAGAACACTACCTGGCACACAGTAAGTGCTAGGTAAGTATTTGTTATTATTACTACTATCTATCCAGCCATCCACCCTGTCAATCTCAGAGGAGACTCTTTTCTAAAAACAACCACTACTCTTTCTTTCACTGTGGCTTCCAGTTCTTCCCTAACATAGAGGAACATGTTCCCCAAATTCTTGAACTACTTTCCTCATTCCACTCTTCACTCAAGAATCCATCATGGCTCCCGATGGCCACAGCACCAGGTCTGAATGTTCTGCTCTGAATCCAAGCCCCTATGCAGGCTCTTTCCATCCTATCTACTCAACAATATTTCTCACTACTCTGTACCCCAGAACCTCTGCCAGGCTCGGGCAGGTCTCCTCACAATCTCCTGTGGATGGGCTACTTGTTACATAGACACCTGAGTTCCTGGTGATTGTCCCACCCTCCTTTGAATGGGCTAATCTCTAGACTATGTCTAGAACATGGTGGACTTTGAAAAATGTCTGTTCTTCTTCACTTCTAAATGTTGGGCTTTCTTTAAGCCCATGTTTAAGGTTCATAACAGATATAAAGGCACATAGCTATATTTTGACATGTATCGGGACCTTCTCTTCACCAGTAAAAGTGCTACATAATTGCTTCATAAGATAATAGTTAGGATAGCAAGTAAATGAACTGACCTGGAAGTAATTATATTAGGTCAATTAAGTGTTTTCCTAATGAAACTCGGGATGAATTAGCAAGTGTCCCTCACTGAGAGCAGTTAGCATTCCCAGGACTCAAAGTGATCTCTTTAAATTCATTTAAAAATATTATCGATATGCCTATTACTTTGTGGTTTTATAAGGCAGATCATTAAACATTCATTCTTATGAAAGTTTGTTACTTGACAAACAGGCTCACTGATACTGAGAGCTTGAAGAATCAAAGAGATAAGGACTTACCCTCACCCAATGCAGGAATTCCCTTAAACATGTTCTCAAGAGGTGGACATTTAGCCAACGGCCATGTAGGATTATTTCCAATGACAAGGATGATTATAACAGTGAAAATAAATGGGCTTTAAAGTCAATAAACCTTAATCTGTCACTTTCCAGTTGTGTGAACTTTGACAAGTTTTTACTTGGCGTCCAATTTCCTCATGCAGAAAATGGTGATAACACTATCAACTTTAGCGGCTGGTAACCTCTGTAGCCGGTACACAGTGAGCGCTTAGCCTCAGATGGGCCTCCTTAAAAGGCTTCCTACGCCATTTCTGAGCAACAACAAGTGATAGAAATTTCTTTTTTATATTTGAGCTTTAATTTGCCTCCCTGTAACCTCAATCCATTCAATCTACTTTCCCTTCTGGAGCCATATAATCTTTTCTCCCTCCACTTGATAATTTATTTCTCAAACATTGCGAAGCAGCTATCAGGATCCCTATTAGCATCTTCATTACCATCTGAAGATTATGTACAAAAGTCCCTGTCATCACTGAGTTTAAAGTTTAGCTGGGAAGCAGCTTCTCCTTGACTTTTTTAGGTTGAAGACATTCAACTCTACAGCCATTTCAAGCACGGTGTCTACCACAGAGCACGGCACAGAGTAGAGCTTCAATAGATGGAAGTTGCTGTTCTTATTCTCATTATCATCACACATGGTTTTGAGACCCTTAACCATTCTAGTCATCCTCTTCTATGACTGGCTAATATCTCCTTGAAATGAGATTTACAAAACTAACCCACATGCCACAGCTAAGGCCTCACCTATATAGAATAGATAGAAAGCAAATATTACTACCTTTGATAAGGAGACTTACTAATGCAATTTTTCTAAATCAATGGCTCATTCTTCTGGTTCTTATTAAGCTTGCAGTTCATTAAAAAGCCGGTTTTAAAAAACTCATATGTACTTATATTAAGTCAGACCTTTTCTATCTAAATGCTTACTTGGGGGCTAAAGGTAGGATTTCATATTTATCTGGTTAGTTTCTTTTAATTTTTAGCTCATGCTTCTAATCTTTCTGATATTCTTTTAAATTTTGATTTTGTCACTGGCATTTCAAAGGGCCTTCCCAGTTTCATGTCCTCTGTAAATCTGAGAGGCTCATGTTGGAAATGAACTCTCTAGGATACAGGATAACCAGAGACAGAGAGACTATCAGAAATACCTGAATGCTAAATCTGTCTTTTCTCCTGGATGAGGATGTAGTTTTACTGATGCTGAGTTCGGAGAGTCTCAATATCTGTAAATAATCCTTTAAAAGAAGACATTAGGGACATAGATTATTTGTGTAAGTTCTTCAAGAATAATGATTTAAGCCCCAGGTACAAAAGGTCTGTAATGCCACACACAATTAGATTTCTTAGTTCCAGCAAGACCTTATCCTCTGAGAACAGAGACCCTGGCTCCTCTGCACCTTTCTCTCATAGAGGTCCTAGGGGCAGTTTGGCAAAGGTGCACCTCTCTGGGATGCAGTAAAGAGGGACATAGAGATGATGCCTAGGGACGGGAGCACAGTGACTGCTCTCTCCTGTCCTACCACAATGTGGACTTAACCGACCCTCTGTTTTGTTTAAGAATCAGGAAGGGGTCCGGAGGTCTGTCAATATTTCCTATTTGTGCAAGGTCTTCCTGGCTGAGGATGTAAGCTCTGAATATTGAAAGGGATGTGGTAAGCAATGAAATTTAGCTTTTCAGCTAGAGCAGCACAGCACTATCTTGCACAGACAATGTAAGTGGCAACCACAGGATCCATAATGGGTTCTGGGACCAAAAAAAGCTGGGCCCAGACAGGCTGTGTAGGCTCTTGCCCTGTTTATCCAGCTGGTTTAATATAAATTTCTTTGTCTCTGCCCCAATAAACCATGAACTTAATTCAGTTTTACATGAGTGGTCTCTTCTTGAAAGTCTACAAATTCATTGCCTACCTTGAGAGTAGCTGCAGGTCTTCTGTGTCCAAGTCATTGCTTAAAACCAAGGACCTGAACAGAGCCATTAACACAATCCTCCAGGATACCACTAGAGGCCATCTTCTAAGTTGATTGACCCACTACTTATTCCTCCAGACACGGTCACACCACCACTTATAAATCTACTGAATTCTATGGTGATCCAGCCCATATTTCTCCAACACGTGCACAATCTAAGAAACTTTGTCTGTATCTTGCTGAAATTAAGGTTCATTTTTATCCCATGGTATTTTCCTGAGCTAGCAGTCTAGTAGCCTTATTAAAAAGGGAAATTAGCTGACAATTCCTTTATGAAAAAGATGGAATTTAAACAAATGAATAAGGAAATGAAATCAGTTAGAGCAATCCTTGTTCTTAGCATGTTGAAATATCTAGGATTACCACTATATTCTGACCATGATCTGAAAAAAAATCCATTTTATCATGAAACCTACATCAAGTTCATACCCTAGACTCTCAAGAATCCATATTCTTCCTTTTTAATAAAAAAGGAGTACAGCATTTTCCCATAATTTTTTTTGCAATGTTTTCTTCCTTATTTCTCAAAATCGTGGATAGTGTTGTATTGATTATTATTATATCACTGAGATATAATTCTTTAAAACTTGGAGATTCAACTCATTTAAATAGTATCTTAGATTTGTTTCATAATAACACAGTGGGGGTTGAGGGTAATAATTAAGGGTAGAAATGAATACTATTTTCTCTACTTCTGTATATATTTAAAACTTATAACAAAAATTGAACGCTAATTCATTTAAGGCAACTTGATGCTCTTGCACCATCCATCTCCTCAAACCTCTCATACTCATGTTGTAGTTGGAAGAAAGTGATGAAGACGAAAGCAAAGAGGCAGTTAAGAAATTCTGATTGATCACACTGTTATCACCTGCAAATCTCGTTTTTCCTTTTTTTAGCCCTTCTTTTCCAGATTTTTTTTTCCTCCCTTACTCCCTCTGTCTCTCTTTTCCTTACTCTCTTCCTCCCTCCCTTTCTTTCTTCCTCCTACCTTTTTTCTTTCCTTCCATTCATCTGACTGCTAGCCACTCAGTCTTACATGCCCCTACTTACTCAATCGCCTCTGGCTGGGAGCGAAGGAATTTACCTCAAGAGGTAATCAATGACTTTAATCTCCTGCCTACATGTTCCTTGAGGCAAACTTTACCTTGGAATGCAAGGACACATCTCATTCATGCGCCCCCATGCCTTAATCTTTGAGGCTAACCAGACCACCTAATACTTTCTCTTTTGACATTTCTATAGAATAGTAAAATAGCTAAAAATCGTATATCATGGCCCCGGACAGACATTTCCAGGCAGCAGCTCTTTACTGCCCATGGGTCCTGTCCCCATGCTGAAAACAAAATAAAGGTGCAGGAATGAACGAGCGGCTGGTGTCTGAAAATTCTTTTTTGACTTGCGACTCAGCGGCCCCACTTCACATCCACCTATCCATCCAACCAACCAACCAACAAGCCAACCAGTCTTACCCAATTTTTTTTGTGTGTGAGGAAGA